ATCTCTCCATCGATCTTCTGCATACTATAGAGTAAACACAACAACTATTCATCACCTTCTTCTTTTTCTTTTCACTTCCATCACATTCTGCGATATGCTTTTCCTTATGCCGCTCCTTTATAATTGCTCCGCAAACACGGCACCTCACCTTTTTTGAATGGCTTTTCCTATATTTTTATCAGATTTATATAATCCATATACTTTTTTTCAGATTCCATTCGTTTTTATTACAAATTGGAAGATCATGTACAATATTTATAGGTACATTCTAACTATATGTACCCAATTTGTACCTAATCTATTCTATGCATTTTCATTGTAAACAGAATAGCTTCTTGAAACAAATCATGTGCCAGTCCTTTTTTGAAATAGATACTCATTTCATGTTACAAGCCATGCTTGTTTTGTCCATGTTCTATTACACTTTGCATAGTATTTAGTTATGGCTATATTTTTATATTCCTCTATCCTGAAATTACACAATCTATAATAATTCTCATTTCTCTTGTATCAAACTGTTCAGCAAAAACCGTTATTTTCCCAATCCTGAAATAATTGTTTTCTGTCTATTAGCCTCATATTTTCAGAGTACTGTACACAAAAACAAGTCGTTTATCAGCCAGTTTCAAGACTTCAATAATGCTTATCCTTTTAACCCTTTCTCGAGTTACAAGGATAGCTCCTATCAAAAATAATAGATTTATTACAGTCTAACTGAGATTTGCTGTTTCCTTTTGTAGAATTGACCTGAATGATACTCGGCCAGTAGCGGACGTTGAATAAAATCTACCAATATACATATTTTCACTAATGTTTCGTCCAATTCCTGGAACTTCATTAGTATCTCATATTTCGTCATTGCTTCAAGTAGCAATACAAAATGCATATCCACGATTACAATCTAGCACAATCGGACTCCTTGTAATTTTTACTATATTGGATGATCCTACTAGATTCAGGCAAATACAAACTCAAAATTGAATCATGATTATCAAAGTAATGCTGCAATGACTCTCTTAA